CATGAAGAAGACATGTTGATGTAGAAGAGACATGAAGAAGACATGTTGATGTAGAAGAGACATGAAGAAGACATGTTGATGTAGAAGAGGGGACACATGTTGATGTAGAAGAGACATGGAGAAGAGGGGACACATGTTGATGTAGAAGAGACATGAAGAAGTGGATTTTGCATAATATGTGACCTCTAACACACTGGGTATGAGTTCTTCAAAGTCCCAGATCGTTAAACGTGTTATTTCAGTTGAATCCATCGATATATATAACCAGTCGTAGAACACTCTGTTATGAATGGAAACAGATTGCCTCCACCTGCTGACTGGATGTAAGCCAGCAGCAGTTGGAACTTGGCGTCCAGCTGCTGCTTCAGAAACTCCCTGCTGACTTTCTACCGTGTGTTTGTTGCCAGGTTGGTGTCAGGTCCGACAGGAGACGGTCTGTTCCTGCAGACGGCTAAAGGGCGCGCTGTTCTGCAGCAGATCAAAGACTTCATGAGACAATACGTGCTTCCTGCTCAGGAGGTCAGTGCTTTGAGCTGACAGAGATGTGTTTGTCCAGATGGAGTTTTAACTTTCACAGGAAAGGGTTTGTCTGAGCCGCTCATTCATGCAGTCAGGATTCGAGTGGGAGAACAAGGAGGCTATTGATTACATGGTATTCATGCAGAGGCAGAATCACCACCACGGCTTTGGAAATGTTGTTACTTTGATGTGGGAGCAGTGGGCAGATTGAACAGATTAGTTCCTCCTGCAGGAATAACTACATTAAAACCGTAAGTGAGTCAAAATAGTTCACATTATTCTTTTGTAAAAGTTCCATCTAAGGAAGAGCAAGCTCAAGTGAGAGTAGAGTAAAACAAATGATTGTTATGCTTTTTCAAAAATATGTTTTGTTTCTACAGGAAGTTGCCGAGTACTACACCAAACACGCTCAGTCTCCACAGAGGTGGCACACCCCACAAATAATAGAGGACCTAAAGGTATGTCAGGATACTTTTTTTAACATTTAATTTTAAGGTTTTGTTTAATTTAGTGGCCAAGACCTGTCCAGGTTAACACTACCAAGGCAGCGGAGGCGATGCAATCAAACAACATATAGCAATAAACAAAATATAATATATTCAACTTAAAGGGGACCTATCATGATAAATGCACTTTTGTACGTCTTCTCTACATGAATATGTGTCCCCGGTGTTCCAGGGAACTCACCAAGTGTCAGAAAATACAACCCTCTCTCTTTTCCTCCGTACCCAAATCTCTTAAAAAGGGGCTGTAACGGATCTGATACAGACTGATCCAGATTTGAACACTTCTATGACGTCACAGAAGTGGCGCTACGGCTATTGGGCCAACTCCACCAATCAGAAGGAGACAGCCAAGGACATTGCCGTTGGAAAGCGCTGGAGACGCTGTAGTACATATGCCAGGCCTGTAGATGGTGCTGTTCTCACAGAATCAGCCCATGCAAAGACAGTGTTAAAGTGAGCGAAATGAGGAATGGCTAAAATGCATGATCTGTTTGGTATTTTGAAAAATAAAAAGTATAAATATGCCTTATATAGGTATGGTCCTACACTATATTATTCAAATACAGCATGATAGGTCCACTTTAAAGCTGTCAATCGATTCTACACTTGCACTTCTATTGGCTTGTGCTCCAACACATTGCACGTCATCATCTGTACCTTACAGTTCTCATGCTCGTCTGGAGTGTTTGTATAAAAATCAGATGGACAGAAGATCTTTTTCTTTCTGTTTGACTTTCATGTGAGGCTTCCTCTCTAGTTTGTACATGGATAAAGCTTGTGTTGGAGGTTAACATCCCAAAGCCTCTTCCAGTCAGTACAACATGTGTCCGTGTGTGCAGGTGAGAGCCAGGCAGGCCGGACTGTATAACCTGTTCCTGTCTGCAGTCAGCGGCCTCAGTCAGCTGGACTACGCCTTCATCGCAGAGGAGACCGGGCGCTGCCTCTTCGCTCCTGAAGTCTTCAACTGCCAGGCTCCCGGTAACACTTGGTTTCAGATCTAGAGATAAATTGTGTCAACATTATCTCCCTTTTTCTCAGTCACACACTTACAGTATGACCTTGCACTTTACAGACACAGCATAGATTACATTCGACTATGTTGCTGATGAATTTGGCCTAGTTATATGTTCCCCAAAATGGTGACTAATGACGGCCCCTTTTACATCCTAACGATTTTTGTGTTTGTTCACTATAGCCTTTTTTAACAGTATGATTATGGTCCTCTAGGGCAGGGGTTCCCAAACTTTTCAGCCCGCGACCCCCAAAATAACTAATTAATTTCAGGAAAAAAAAGTTAGGAGAAACACTGCGCTAGTGGATTGTCAAAGAAAAAAATGTCTATGCAAACGTTATTATTAAGAATAATTGAAAAAA